TCTGGTACGAACTCAAGTACATTGAATCCAAAGGGAGGATGAAGAAAGGCGACCGAATTTGGTAGATTGCTTTCAGCAGTGGATTCGAATGTAACAGTGTGGTCTGGAAATGCAACCGGAACCTTAAAAAACTGATGATGGACCATGAAATTACATATATATCCTCAAAAATCACAGTCAACAAACGGTCAAATAGACAGAGGACCAAATTGTGTTAAAATTACAAAGTTAAGGATTTAATTGGTTGAAATTGAAAGTCGAGGACCAATTTGTGAATTTAGCTATAGTCGAGGGACCATTTTGGGTATTTACTCTTTAATATATCATCAATATTTTAAGCATTATATATAATGCATTATAGTATAAATGTAATACACATTTTGCAAGGAATATGGTAATAACATAACATAATTGATGATATCATAAATACTTGAATTCTTATATACAATATACTTTATAGCATAAATGTAAAACTTTATAGTAAAATTGTAATATACAATTTGCAAGAAATAATATTACTAAACACATATATCATTATTTTTAGACCCGACATGTCTCACGGAATGAGACATGTGAAACGGTCTCACAAGAAAATTTGTCAAATATCTTTTCCTTTTTAGGTTGAAGTGATTAATGACGTTTTAGAACATATACTACATATTCCTTTTCAATTTTAAGGACCTGTTTGGTAAGCTATATTTGTAATTCAACTATAGCCTAATACTTTGCGGAGCACAATTCATTGTTTGGTTGGAGAGAATTGCAATTCCATCCATTTATGGAATTAAAATTAATAAGGCCCTCTATGAATTCCAATTCAGTGGTGGATGAAAATAAAGAAAAAAGATGAAATTATAACATTACCCATTATTATTAGGGAAAATGGCACTTTTTACCCCTGAGTTATATACTTATAGCACTTTTTCCCCCTCAATTATTTAGGTAACCACATTAGTCCCCTCAATTACTCTAAAAGTGGTGATTTTTCCCCCTAATATATTAAATTGACATTTATACCCTTAAAGTAAACATTTTATTTATTTTACTTCTCTAACAAATTATTGCGTATATGTAGGGATGACCACGGTTCAGTTTGAATTGAACCGGATACTAAAGCAATCGAATTAATAGTTTCCGATTATGATTCAGATCTAGAACCCAATATTTAAATGTCAATTTATTAAAATTATGTATCAAAAAAATTGAATCTTGAACCGTGAACCTGCGGTTCCGAATCCGATTCGCAATTTTGAACCGTCTTTATTTTAAAATGGGAAAATGGCACTTTTTCCCCCTATGTTGTTTACTTATAGCACATTTCCCCCCTGTGTTATTTATGTAGCCACTTTATCCCCCTCAATTATTTCTAAAGTGGCTATTTCTCCCCCTCTTCGTTAACTAAATGTTTGGACGGTTAAAAGTGAGGGTAAAAATGATATTTCACTTATTCTTTATTCTTTATTATTATTATTTTTTTTTGATAAAGATGGAGGGCTATGTTCACCGGTATTTCACTCATTTTACTTAGTTTCTCCAACAAAACATTACTCCACATACACTGCCTAACCCTAACTCTCTATAATCTAGCAAAGAACACCCCATCTTGAAGCAATCAGAAAAAATTAACGCAACCATGAGTAGCAGGAGGGTGCTTGGATTGGATAAAACTCTAAATTGTAAATTTTTCTTGAAACCTTATATCTTTATAGCATTTGTATTTGATTATATTCTAAGAAATTAAAAATTGAATTATCTTCATACCTGTTGCCGTAACCGGCGAGGCGGGCGCCCATCTTGCATCTGGCCGGTACGAGTATTGACCATTCCTCATATCCCCTTAATTAAAACATGCCTGAAGGATCATTGTCTCTATATCATTATTTTCCTATTAATCCTTACTCTGGTATATTTGCTATCATTTGTTTATTTAGTTTAATAGCTGTTTGTTTATGTTTTCAGAGATTTGTGCTATCTTTTGCTTATTTGTTTATTTAATTTAATATTGTTTGTTTATGTTTCCTGGAATTTGTGCTATTTCTTTTGCTTATTTGTTTATTTAATTTAATAATTATTTGCTTATGTTTCCAGAATTCCAGGGATCTGTGGACGGATGAAAGAATGGATTATGGAGTACATTTTAATTAATGCAATATGAATTTCTAAGAGAAGGGAGTGAAATACAAGTTAATCCCTCCATTTTTATTAAAAAAATAAAAAATAAAATACCATTTTTATCCTTACTTTTAATAGTCTAAACATTTAGTTAACGGAGAGGGGGAGAAATAGCCACTTTAGAAATAATTGAGGGGGATAAAGTGACTACATAAATAACATAGGGGGAAAATGTCCTATAAGTAAACAACATAGGGGGGAAAAGTGCAATTTTCCCTTTTAAAATTTTATTTTTTATTTTAAAATAGTCTAAATTCAACAATAAATGTATTTTATTTTTTCAGTTCGGAATATAAATCGTCTGTTCCGGTTCACGATTTTAATAAACTCTAAATATCGGATTTCTATTCTAAATTGGAATTGGAATATTTCGGTTTGGTTGCTATAGTGTTTGTTTGGTTTGAACCAAATTATGGTCATAATTTGTTGAAAAAAATAAAATATTTATTTTAAGGGTAAATATGTCCATTTAACATTTCAGGGGGGAAAACAGTCACTTCAATAATTCAGGGGAGAAAAATGCTATAAGTATATAACTTAGGGGGAAAAGTGCAATTTTCCCTTATTATTATTATTATTGTTATTATTATTATTATTATTATTATTATTATTATTATTATTATTATTATTATTATTATTATTATTATTATTATTATTATTGTAATTTTGCATATTCTCTTTTTAGATAGATTAACAGGATTAATCAACTGTCAGAGATTACTGATTGATTCAGTTACGAAGTCAGTCAGTAATAATAAATTGTGGAGAAGATGTAAGAGAAAGATAACAACACAAACCCAACGACACAGAATATTTACCCAGTTCGATACAGTGTGTATCTACGTCTGGGGGACGATCACATAGGCATCCAATCCACTAAATCATAATCCAATGTACAAAGGTAGATATACAATAATCTTACCCAAGTGCCCCACACAAGGTACATACCCAGTCTACACAGGTTTAGTGGATTGTTGAAGATGGAGAGCCATGCATATAGAAGTCCAATGAAATCCCTTCACTTGGAGAGCCCACTCTGATGCAGTCCACTTCAATGACGCTCTTTACAGTTGTTCCCACAACAGTGTGATCACAGTGTCCTTTCGTTTAAGCAACGATTCTTCTCAAGTTCATCATCTTAATCACCATGAACATATTGTATTGAGAAGATGCATGACAATCAAAGATCTTGTCTCATATAGCAGATAGGGAGAATTTCTTCTTACTTTCAACGTAACACTAATTCTTTTCGAGTAAGGGTACTTATAGATTCTTCAATAAACACTCTCCATAAATGACTTTGATTGTAGAAGGTAGGACTATAAAAGAGGAATGTAATCTCAGAAGATTTGGTCCATACCTTTCTTGAAAATATACGCTGATCTTCTTTCCAAACTTGTCTGATAAAACCGCGTAAGACTTTTAGAAAACAGCTTCCTAAATCAGATCTTCAGAGTCAGTCCTTCTATTGTTGCTTCTGATTGATCAGTCGTCTGTAGAGCTGGACGGACAGACTCTAAACCTATCTTAGTATGCCATAATAATATTGCCAATTATAATATGGGGTTTTTTGAACATTTAAAAAACACTAACAAACTCCCCCTTTGGCTATTATTTGGCAAAACAACTCGACTATATAGATATACGCAACATAAAGAACTAAGATAGGGTCATATAAAGAAGCAACCCAATACGTCTGATCTGATTACAAGGAATAGAAACAGAAACATAATATCCATAATAGTTTATGATCAAAAACAAAAAGTGGTGCCATCAATAACAACGCCCAGCCAGGGCCAGAAGGTACTCAAACACAAAAACTCCCCCTGAGTTCATACTACTCCCTCTTTTTGCCAATGATAGCCAAAGGTCAAGCATTGGAGGGAGTGTCACTGTCAGACTTCGCAGGATCAGCAGCAGCAGCAAATTCAGATAGGCTTAAACGAAGAAGAACGGTTGCCAGCTCAGTACGGGCCCCTGTAAGTTGCTTTGCAATAATGCTATGTATTGTCTCAAGATCAGCGACCCTTGCCTTCAACTGTATGGAAAGCTGAACATCCTTAGCATGAGGAGAATCATCAGACACAGCATCAGGTTCAGAATTGGATGGGACAGTCACCAGAACAACATCTCGAAAGTGATCTCCAGTCAGCAGACGTTTATCAACAGTATAGAGCAGCGTCGGACTGATCACTTCATTGGGCATAGGCTCAAAACCCTGAGTGGTAAGAATGCTAAAAATCTGATTTGGAAAGGGTAGTCTTACCTTCTGTTCCCGTGGATGAATCAAGGTAAGGATGTGAGAGTAAATCCATTTTCCTAGATCAATTGGCATCTTCGTTCCAATTCGAAATAAGAAGCCTGCCAACAGTGTGGAAATGGGCTGATGGGAGCCAGTTGTGAAGGGCCAGGCGATGTAAAATCACATATCTGGATGTGAGATGCGAGCTCTGCAGATAGTCCGTATCTCCTGTAGGCCAAGATTCTGTCTGTCCACCAGTAAGAGTTCTGGCCACCAAGTTCTAGTCAGTGACAGGGTCTTCTTGTACAACAGTCAAACCATAGTATTCATTGATCATGTCCGTCCCAAAAACGTACCACCTTCCTCTGATGAAAATCTGCATCGGTCGTGGCCCAGTTAGGATGTCAATCTCGTCATTGAGATTGCAATAGAATTCATACGTGAGAAGCTTAGAATATGGGCAGATGTTTGTGACAGTCTTCAACAATCCGACTTCATTCAGCAAAGGTAAAATGTCACATACAGAGTTTAGCTGGTTCTCATCCACAGATCGTTGAACAATAAGATCCCTTCTAACCATGGTAGACTATTTGGTCTGAGCAGCAGGAGAAACAAACTGAGGCCTGTAAACAGATGGATCAGTTTCTTCGACAGGTTGAACCTCAAGAGCAATGCTTCGTCCTCTTGATCGTGTGGATGGCTTCCCTTTTCTGACAGATGGTGCAGGTACAGAAGTAGCTTGAACAGCAAGCCCCTTTTGCTTAACAGACGATCGCAGAGTCTTGAACACTTGTTGAATAGGCGGATTTCCTTCCGGCTTAACAGCCTCACTCGACTTCCTTTTCTTCTCAGGCCGATCCACATCAGCACTGTCATCACCAGTCTCAACAACAACCTTTACTGGAACATTCTTCCTTTTAGACCGTCTTGTTTCTTTGGTTGGGGATTGAACAGGAGGCACAGAGTGACTGGAATCAGAAACATTGGCAGATGAGCTCCCAATAATATTCGAAATTTCTCGAATTTTGAAGGTCGTGGAGTCAGGATGAGCAGTGGCCTCAATAGTTGGAACATCAGATGGAAGTGCTTGAGATCCATACACTTCAGCCAGTATTTTATCATCTTCGTTGGAGAATTCAGAAGGATGAATCACTCGATACGGTTGAGGGATTGAAACAGATGGTAGACCAGCAAAGTGTCGCACATGTTCCAGACTTTCACCTAATGATGTGGCAGTGTAGACTGGGATTCCACCTGTTTTCTCAGACTTGTGGGGGCTTGATAGATCAACAGTTTCAACATTAGCAGGTAAGACAGGAGTGTCATCGACAGAACAAACTTCTTTAGGGTCATCAGCAATTGCAGCCGGAGGCAGAGCAATATTATCAGAAGCATAAACAACTAAACTAAATTTATTTGGCTCATCAGAGGACTTTTCTTTCTCATAAGACACATGCAAGACATCAGTTTTCACATCAACAGACTCACTCAAAGGCAGAGATGTAGAATCAACATTCACAGGGGGATTCTCGGAATCCAAAGCAGTTAAATTTTCAGAAATAACAGGCACGCAAGATGGGGTAGCAGAATCATCAGGTTTATCAGGTGAAATTTCAATAGGAGTTTCAGAATTGTTTGACCTGTTTCGGAGGATCTCCTGTCTGTGTTTTGCCTCTTTCTGAGCAGCTTCAAGATACAGAGGTTGGGACTCCGCTCGCCGTCGAGAGACCTCAACAGATTCTAGGGTTCGTTGTGCAAAATATCGAAGGAATGCCCCTGCTCGATTTCCATCCGAGGGTTCTGGAATAGATACTGGAGAAACTTCGTCACTGGCTTCGGAAACCATCATAAGCAGTTCAGTCACATCATCTTCAGACCATTCTGCATAAAACTCTGGGTAGTTGGACATCACAGTCACCAAAATCTCGTCGCGAAGCAGAGGATCAAGTTTGAGCTTCTTCTTCATAGCAAACTGCAATAGTGTTAGGAATAAAGTGTAATGGTTTTGATATGCCAAATTTGTATTTGTAGATCCCCCAATTTTCTTTTATAGGTCTAGTAGAGTCTTAGACCATGATCGGGAAATTATTTAAAATTGAAAAGAGAAAAATAGAGGAAGATGCATGAAAATAGAAGAAGAAGATATAAAGCCTAAAATCAAGAATTTGTCTGGAGAAAATGACAAATTGAAGAAGAAGATGAATGATACAATAAATCACGTCAATGCTACTCAAAGAAGATATCCCAGAAGAATTTTCGTGAAGAAAATTAATATTGGAAGAATGCATAAAATTGACTTGGAGATCAAGCATCTATGGAAAGAAAGGAATACATCAAATGTGATTGGAGATTTAATCAAATGCTGTACGGACGAAGTGGATGATGCTTGATATATTATGCAAAATGGCTCAGGTTCAAAACTCACCATCAACAATTTGCCAAATTAAATTAATCTGATGGAGTTGGGCGCTAGTTTAAGCTTTGGACGCCGATTACAAGTGATTAAATTAATCTGATGGAGTTGGGCGCTAGTTTAAGCTTTGGACGCCGATTGTAGTAAGTGGAATTGGGAAGCAATTTCACTTGGGTGGCAATTGAGATGCAATTGCACTTGGGAGCCAATTCAAAGGAATTGTAGTAATTGAAATTGGGAGCTAGTTTCGAAGACATGAGCCAATTGAGGTTGTAGTATGGGATGCAATTTTCAAAGTTGGGGACCGATTCAAAGAAGACATAGGAGATGGGATGCAATTTCAAAGTTGGGGACCGATTCAAAGAAGACATAGGAGATCAAATTGAATTGAGATGAAATTCAATACCAGGAGAAGTCTGGAAGCCAATTTCGAAGTCAAAGTCAACAATTCAAATTGGGAAGCAATTGAATGCACCAGGAGCAGTTTGGGAGCCAATTGCAAAGCAGAGCAAAAATATCAAGTGCTTTTTCAGAGAGTTCTTAAACAGAGCAAAGCAGAGCAAAAATATCAAGTGCTTTACTTGATATATTCAAAGAGAGAAAACACTCAGAGCTATCAAGAGAAATCATTCCAGAGTGTTTATCTTCATCAAAGAGACCTGCGTATCATTGAAGATCATCTACAGAGTCTCAGAAGTTGGAAGCAAGACAACACTTGTTTTGGAGTAAAACAAGAGAAGGGAGGAAAGTAGCACGGAGCTGTGAAATCCTGGATTGTCACACGGAGCTGTGAGATCCGAAGTAGCAGTGTCAGAGGCACTCGGTGTGATTAGTGCGGGCTTTGTGATCAAAGCACTAGATCACGGGATACGTTTCTACCGGAGTGTGGAAGATGGGGGGAAAGTAACGCGGAGTCGTGAAATCCTGGGATAGTAGCGCGGCAACGTGAAACCCGAAGCAGCAGTGTGGTGTCACTGGGCGTGATTAGTGCGGGCTTTGTGATCAAAGCACTAGATCACGGAAATTCATTGTATCTTGGAACCAAGGAGTGATAGATATAGTGAATTACTCTTGGAGATAAGAGCAAGTGGAGTAGGAGGATTACACCACCTCGCGAACCACTATAATTGTCTTGTGTTCTTTACTGCTTTCTTTACTTTCCGCTCTTTACATATTAGCTCTACACGAGATATACTGCTCACACAATCTCACACACACTTTATGTTTATTTATTTCCGCAGTGCACCATACTCTAACAATCTAGTTAAGAGTTTTAGTTTATCTCTGGCTTAGCAATTGTTGTGCTGTGCGAAAAAGTTTGAAAGTCTATTCACCCCCCCCCCCCCCCTTCCCTCTAGACTTTCACCTTACCTCTTTTGGGACCAACAATTGGTATCAGAGCAGGCTATATATTTAGGCCAAATTGCTATCTAAGCACGTGCCTAACTAGGTCAACCGTTTCTGACTGCTAGACAGATCCATTCTACAAAGTGTGTGAATTGGATTAATCTTTCATATCTCTCGTGATGATGATGAAGAAAGATTTAGCTCAAAATCTATTATTCTCACTTGATAAATTTGATGATTGGAAAGTTCGTATGCAGGTACACTTATCGGCCTTACACGATGAAATGTGGGAAGTTATTTCCACTGGACCTATAGAAATATTAAAAATCAATACGGCATTTGTTATATCCCCAGATGCTCCACAGTACGTACAAAAGCCTAAACCGGAATGGACATCGGATGATAGAACGCGGAATAATCTTGACAATATTGCCAAGGATATTCTATTCAAAGCCGTAGATGATACAATATTTCCGAAGATCCGAAAGTGTGCCACTGCCAAAGAAATATGGGAAACTCTCATCAAGATTGGCGAAGGAGATGAACAAGAAAAAGACAATAAGCTCACAATCGCCATGAAGAAGTTTGAAGATTTCAAAATTCTCTTAAATGAAAGTATTGCAGACATGGAAGCTCGAATGATCAAAGTTCTTGGAGAGATTAGTGATCTTGGCAAAAATATTAGCCAAAAAGAAATTAATCTCAAAATCCTACGAGGCTTACCATCTGCATGAGATATGAAGGTTACGGTTATGCGCGATCACTGAGATCTAAGAATGTTGTCTACAGACAAATTATTTAGTGATCTAAAGGCATATGAGTTCGAAATGAAGGCCAAAGATGATGATGTTCATGAAGCTCGAAATTCTGCTCTAATGGCCGAACAACCGTCAACCTCCAGGTCAGTAGAAAATAATGTTGATTTTATGACTGACGAACAGTTTGCTCTTTTTGTGAAAAGATTTAAAAGGTTTATGCGAAAAGGAGACAACAAAAATTCTGCTCGTGGAAAATTCATCTCTCGCATAACACAAGAAGAAAAAGTCGAAGAAAATAAGGATTTGTGCTATAATTGCCCCAAACCCGGACATTTTAAAATAAATTGTCCGTATCCGATCGTTAGCAAGTATCAAGGCAAAAATGTTGAATCTACGCCGAACAAATCCGAAAGCAAAAGGTTCAAGCGCGACAAAAGAAAAGCTCTCGTTAACAACGAACCAAACGAAAATGATGATTCGGAGGATTCATCATCAAGCGATGAAAGTTCATGTTCGGATGATGATATGACTCTAATAGCAAGTCAATTGAGTTGAGTTCAAGTGAAGATTGTCTTATGGCTCTTGACGCAGAAGAAGAAGAGGTAACATCTAATTCTTTCAATTCTGTTAATTCTTCTTTTTCTCGTGAATCTATTGACAATCTAATGCGAGAATGTCAAGAGATTATGCTCACTCATCCTCAACTCAAGGAGCGCAATAATATTCTAATTCTTGAAAAAGAAGAAATGAATAAAAAATTGCAAGATGCTTTACTTGAAGTGAGTAAATTGAAGAATGAAAATATTCATCTTCAAGAAGAGTGTAAAGCAAGAGAGGTTAGAGAACATAATCTTAGAGCTACTATTGCTACGTCCACTAATTCGTCTAAAATTATAGATAAAATGGTGAGCATGCAAAAGCCATCAGGAGATAGAACCGGAATTGGTTATGACTCCACATGTTCTCAAACCCCTCAAAATTTGACTAATTCTACTACTACTTTAAATAATAAAGTTCAAGTGGTAAAATTTGTTAAAAGTCAAAATAGCACAATGAGACAAGGACTTGGCTATCAAACAAATGCAAAGATGAATGTTGAAAGGCCGAAACAATTTAATTATACGGCAAAACAATAAAATTTCTTCAAGCAAAGATATGCCAAAGAGTCAAGTGCAAAAAGATTTCATAGAAAAGAGGGAAGCTTTTCTAGAAATAAAGTTGGGAGATTTCATCCCACTCAAAAAGATTGGTCGTGCAATAGATGTAATATTTTTTATAGACCAAAGCAACCATTCTCTTCCCAGGTGCCAAAATATAAAAATAATTTTCAAAACCCGGCGCCAAAAATATTTTCTAAAGTGAGTTATGATTATCGTATCTCAAATGGTTACAAATCGCCTCATCTTAATTCAATAAGATCAAGGTGGGTTTGGCTACCAAAAATCACTAACAGTAAAGGACCCAAGCAAGTATGGGTACCTAAAGTTAATTAATCTTTTTTGCAGGATGTTTGGTACATCGATAGTGGTTGCTCACGCCACATGACTAGAAATAAATCATATCTAGAGAATTTCAAAGAAATCGATGGACCAAAAGTTATATTCGGAGGAAATCAAAATTATGGAATCACAAAAGTAGTTGGCACGATCAAGAAAAATGGTTTGAAGATTGAAGATGTTTCTTTCGTTGAAGGATTGAAATTTAATTTGTTGAGCACTAGTCAATTTTGTGATAAAGGCTATCTTGTAGAATTTTCTAAAGATAATTGCCTAATAAAAAATGAGCTCACAAATGAAATTATTTTATCTGGAAAACGGCAAAAGAATATGTATATTGTTGATTGGAGCACAAGCAAAGATTCAGTGTGCTTAATGACCAGAAATTCAAATGAAGCTAATTGGGAATGGCACAGAAAGCTCAACCACTTAAACTTCAAGACCATCAATCAGCTTGCAGAGAAAAATCTAGTAGAAGGCTTGCCAGATATTATCTTCAAGAAGGACCAAGTGTGTGATGCATGCCAACGCGGAAAGCAAATCAAATCATCATTCAAATCAAAGACACACGAGTCAACGTCAAGACCGCTAAGCTTACTACATATGGACTTATTTGGACCGGTTGATCCAATAAGTGTAAGTGGTAAGAAATATACTCTCGTTGTTGTTGATGATTTTTCCAGGTACACTTGGACCGTGTTTCTCAAGAAGAAAAATGAAGTTGAGCAAGTTCTACCGAAGCTGTTGAAGCAACTACAAAATGAGAAAGATTTGCAAATATCAAAAATACGAATGGATCGCGGAACCGAGTTCGTGAATGGAGTTATACAAGCTTTTTGCAATTCACATGGAATTTCTCATCAATTATCTGCCGCAAGAACACCGCAACAAAACG